CACACACACACACAAATTCTATACAACCTTAAAAGAAACAGATTTTTATATTTGACTGTAAATGTACTAACAAAATACTCAAGTTTAATAAATCTATCCCTGGCAGAAGGGGGGCTTCCCAGGATTTGAAAATAAAATGTCCACAAGAAAAAGAACATCTCACAACTGAGTCAGTAATGGAAGACCTCTTCAGTAATGTTTGATGGCTTATAGTGACATTAAAACCCAGACATTAATGATGTGACTAATGTACACAATGATATTTTCAACTATCTAACACTTAATCTGTCTTTATTTTGAAGAAAATCACATTCTCCTATCCCCGGACCCTGGAGGAGCTGCTTCATCAGGTTGCCAGTCTTCATGAGTCCCCCGCTCCCCCCTCTCTTATCCTTGTTGACGGACTGGAGGGCTTCCTGCGAGGAGCTGCAGGCGGCAGCCACGGTGGATTTCACTCAGGAGASCAGTCCTGCGCCGCGCACGTGTCTGCGCTGCTCTGCGACACAGCCGCCTTCCTCACACAGGTGCTGGCAGCGAGGGGGCCGAGCTCAGCCCCCTGCCGCTTCATCGCTTCCTACCTGTCGGAGGGAGACGCTGCCGGGCAGGGCGGCAAGAAGGAGTCCTCCACAGACCCTGTTCTCGATGTKCTTGACCGCTACTTCCAGGTGCGCTGCACTCTGGACCAGGACAGAAGCTACGAAGCTGCAGCTGCTGCAGCGCAGGAGGTGTGGCACATTTACCTTTCAGGGAGGGGAATGACAGAGGCCTCTGGAACTACAGACTGTAAAGACGGCTCATCTGTAGCCCAGGAGTGGAAGCTCTTCATTTTCCCAGATGGTCTAATGGAGTTCACGTTGGTTTGAAGAGGACTCAGCTGTGAATCTTCTGATGTAATGAAGGTCGTGATCCAAATATCCTTTTTGATAGTATTTAAAATGACCGCAGAATCTTTCATGTGCAATGTTTATTTTTAAAATCCTGACACGCTCTGAAGGTGTGTTAGCCCCGTTCATGGACTCTTTTAATCCAAAGGTTTTATATGTATAATTGAAAAATAATTTCCAAAATAGTTGGCTTAAAATACGTTTCTGAATTAATAATAATAAACAATGTTTTCTCATAAAAAGTTTAGAAACAAAGACTGTGGAAAATGCCATTATTCTTTAAATAAGGATTTATTTTGTGCCACATTTTTTTGTTTTAAATTAAAAGATTTCACAGGTTGACAATACAATGGTAAGAGGTATATTGAGTAGAGGCATCATGCATGCTACAGAAGATGAACTGCTATGGTATGAACATCGTTCACTGCAGGTGTGTGTGCCTTTTCTGATTTATTACAAGCATTTCTATCAAATCCAAATAGTGGTTGTCAAAAATCAGGTTGTTTCTTTGATGTACTCTAAATGTCAAGGTTACCATGGTTATTACATTCAGCTTCACCAGATAACAGTACTGTCTGTTGTCCTGAACAATATGGCCGCTCTCGCTGACCAAGACAAGTCACGTGATGACTCCTCCAGTCAATGCATCTAGTTGGGTGCATGATTCTTGTGGCTGATTAAAGGAATGATCAAAATAAAAAATCCATTTAAAAGCGAAGCATATCAAATACTGAATGAAAGGACGCGGGGGAGAATCTGATGTCTGTCCCTTATTAAAAAAGAAACCACAAACAACTTAAATTTGAACAATCTCCAAATTTGAAAAAGTAAAAAAAATCATTAGGCGTCCTTCATATTCCTTTTCTACCAAACCCAGCAGTATACTTTCCTAATAAATTTAACTTAATCATCTTTTTTTAACAAATAGATTGTTGTATAAGGTTTTAATGAAAACAATTTCACAAACCCATTTCCTGCATTACATGTAGCGCTCCGTCAGACTAGTTTAAAAATTAGGTTTTACAAGAATCTCAAATTTTAACTGAATATTTGAAGATAATTATGGGCTTTATACATGACATGTAAAATATTATATTCAA